GGTGCCGGCACCACTAGCGAGTGAACATGCCAGAGCTTGCGGAGTGGTTCTAGTGCATATATTTAAGTTGATGCTCCATGTGCATTTCATCACGGGGGAGTGCTGAAGTCATCGCACGCACTATATGAAGTGCCTCAGCTGGGGAAGCTGCACAGTAATGACAAAGCTAACAGTGCGTGAAATCAAAGATAGACGGGATATTGCTAGTGTTCCATCGCTCACAAGCGTTGTTTTGAAAAACACTGAGGAAATTCACTAGTAGACTTTCTATTCGAGAAGCCAAATTGTGTGTTGCAATGTAGATTTTAGGACGGATTTGTAGCATGCTATATAGTTCTTCAGCGCAATAGTTTTTTGTAGTAGTGATGTTCCCCTGTCTAGATTATCCAGCTGTCAGCTTAACTTCGTTGGGTAGTTACGCCAAACTGTCTTACAAGAGAATGGTCAGAAGTCGAAGTCAAGTAGAGAACGCTGACTGCAAGTTTTCCTTTCCTTATCTGCTGTGCGTCTTTGTGGATAGAATTATAAGCTATATTTCACAGAAATGTGAATGCAAGGTGTAAGTTTAGACACATGGATCCTTTCTAGGTTTAATGCTTTAATGCTTCCCGTCTTGCTCACCATAATAAGAAGACCACCCTCTCCTTTCGTGAGATTCAGACTGTCATTCGTCTACTTCTGCCCGGGGAACTGGCCAAGCATACTGTGTCCAAAGGCACAACGGCTGTCTCCAAGTACGCTTCCAGCAAGTAAGCCTGGCTTGCTGATGAAAACATCCACTAACTAACCCAACGCCCCTCTTCAGGGCCGCATCATAATGCCAATTCTGTATTATGTTTATGTCGAATGAGGGTCCTTAAACTATTGTTTTGTTCATACGCACTGGAAAATGGTCTCTGGTTAGTGCGGCGAAACGATCAATGTTAGGGTTGTTTCATACTGCCGCACTGACTGCAGCAGACTGCAGCACAGCTGGCCGCACTGACCGCAGCACAGATCGCTGCATCGTTTTGTAAAAGAGAAAACAACGATTAAGTCAAAACACCGTGATTTAGCCTAAGAAGTTCATAGGTTTCAACTTACTCTTCTCAAACAAATTTTGGCGATTGTTTTTCTTATGCACCTATTTGTACTGATTCTTCCTTTATTGCATATCCTGTTTTACTCTCGCTCGTGTTATTTATCTTTTGGGTCTAGGCATATATTGTTGTTGATTGTTTGGGCTATGAGTATTTATCATCTCTTTACGAAAGGACGCAGTGATCTGTGTGGTCCTTGCGGTCAGTGCAGCCAGTCTGCTGCAGTATGCTGTAGTCAGCTGCGGTCAGCTGCGGTCAGTGCGGTCTGTTGCAGTCTGCTGCGGTCAGTGCGGCAGTCTGAAACAACCCAAAGCGAGGCGCGGGCAGTGTGATTTTAAAAGGCCTTCAGGTTGAGCGGATAGGTGATAGAGGAGAGTGGCGAGGTAAACAATCTCTGTATAATGAATGTTCATCATGAACTCAATGTGTTGTCTGCTATCAAAAGCTGTTTCTTAGCATTTAAGATTGAGGAGAACTGTACGCCAGCAATCAGAGAATTAGTAGACTTCGTGTCTCATATCCGGCTAAGTCTGTTTATATTTACTTCTTCTAATTCGTATACCAGGGTGTCGTGTAGCGAAAGGGTCTTACTAGGTAATCTCTGATCCCAAATTTGTCTGTGGTATATGCTGATCCCAATTAAGCGGTCTTTAGACCAAAATTATACCCGCATTTGGTGCATCAGCTTACAAAAGTAATGCCCAAATATTCATTATTTAAGCGCGGTGTATTTGCACATCTGGCAAATTGCCACATCGACTCATTTTGCCCGAATCGCTCATGGTATGATTGAAACCTTAAGCAACTTGCAAGCAGACTGTAGCAGTTGGGTCCTGCTGTTACGATACGTATCTGAACCAGAAATCAGACGATAATAGGAAGAATGTGGCTAAAAGGCCCGAGAAAATTGCGACTGTGAGTTTTCCTCACTTACATGGCCTTATCGATGCGCTGAGTCCAATGCTGTGCTTGAAAATTCAAGAAGTGTTTTTACGGCGTTTTCTTACCGTGGAAATAGCTAAAGGGGATGGGCGAGGGATTCCCGCTAAATAGCGACTTGCTGCAGGAGACTGTAACTAGAGTCAAGCAAGAGGTGTGGCACACAAGTGCCGGATACGACCCCCCCCCCCCTTGTCAGTATTATATGCCTACCGTAGGCATAATAAGGACATGCAAAAGCTCTACCATGCACAATTCGGCACATTTTCGTAATTATCCTGTCAAAACCCCCATGGGCCAAGTTTTAGCGAGTTCTGAGGGTACCCAATAGTGAACCACCTAAGTGAAGTGGTCATTTTCAAGTATGATTAACTGTGTTTCAAAAATGAAAAAGCCAACACTTTTTGTACTGGATACAAAGCACTACTACTCACTGTTTACACAACCATGAATTCTACCATAAAAACTATCAAACTATGGAATTAGAAGCAGGCCAAAATCTCGTTTGTCCCACTTTTCCCTTTCAATGGCTGCGCTTGCACCAGCTTTCACTCAGAGCGAAGAAGGTGACTCAGGCACAAAATACTCTCATGAAACTACAAGACTCATGCTATCAAACTATATATATTCTTTCAATCGCATGGATTCTCCACCTAACGGAAGATTTTTTTTTACTTAAGATGTTTATCGTGATCAAACCCTGGATATGTTAGTCCAATGTTTAGTATAGTCCATGTGTTCATTAGATTATAACGGGAGTTAAAAGCAGTGGCTTGGCAAAACCAGACATCTCGAATTCTTGATATGGAGGATTGCTTGCATCTCGAACATTAGGAGCAGGTCTGAGCGCACTACATCTCAGATAATCGCCGGAGTAGGCGGCCGTGCGATTCATGAGCAGGCGAAAAATAGTTCGCTGATTTCTTGCGGTCCGCTTGCAGATATTTTTAGGAGAATTTTGGCGAAATTTTAGAAGAATGCTCGGAGAATAGTTGCGGCTTTTTCGTAAACTAGTTGCCGCGCGGTGGCTGCATTTTCGCGGACCTTCCGCGAGAATATGCGAAATTATTAGAAGCCGCACGGTCCTTTGTGAAGACCGCACCCCATAGGTACATTCCGCTGAGAGAAAGTACCTCAAATTCGGGCATCAAACCAACGATGACACTTCCGCCATATAGAGTGTTACCTCTGCTCGGCGTACGCCCGAAACTGCCTGAGAAGTCAGAGCGCTCGCTGAAAATTTGGCCAGCGTTCGCTGAAAGAAATTATTCGACGAGTGCTTGCAGAAAATACAGTATTGCTGCCGTTCGCAAAATATGCGGCAGAGGAGATACCGCCCGCTGAAAATTTGGCCACACCCCAAAACTCTGCTGACCGCCTGCAGAAAAGCGCGAGTTTGCGGTCCGCCTGATCCCAGCGATTAGTATGACAACCTTTCCTCTCCCTAGGACGTGTGGTCACCCATCGGTAGATCATGCAACCGCACCCATGCAGTTGCAGCTCCTCCCCGCAGGCGAGCCGAGACTATGAACAATCCGAAACTCGTCCGTACACTCAAAACAGGGTCCCCACGAATTGGGTTTTTTTCCAAAGTTTTAGACAATTTGAGCTTTATAACTGTAATTGGGGCCAAGGAAAGGCCCTAGAATGACAAAAACATGAGAGGCGAAGTTTTATCTGGATTAAAGGTAGTGAGTCAAACCCGCGACCTTTGGTTTTTTCGCTTTCCTGGGGCAGTACGATGTGCTGATTCCGAAAAAAACCAGCATTTCCCAAGGCCACTAATTTTTGATTTGGACGAGTGGGACGCTTCCTGTCATGATTAGAGACGTAGAGTCGTTGTGGGGCCCTCATGTCTATAGCATTGCGGCATGCCGCCTCTGACGATGTGAGCAGTGGCGTGCCGAGGGGGGGAGGGCCCCCCCCCCCCCGAGAACGGGTCGCGAAATTTTTGAAAGCTACTTACATGAGTTACAACTTTGTGCAAATGACTTTTTCATACCCTAATTTCACGCGTACAAGGTGCGGGGTGGTCCTAGCTTTCATTGACTAGCCCGAACACGGCAAAGGACTTCGCAACCAAAGGAACCCCATACCGTGCTGCGTTTTGCCTGACGAATCGTGCAGCATAAGGATCGCTTCTTCAAACACGTTGGGGCGGCTGAGCAGCTCGATAAAAGCTAGGACCACCCCGCGCCTTGTACGCGTGAAATTAGGGTACTTGTAAATAATCAAAATATTTTTTAGAAATTTTAAAAATTTCATTTTAGCCCCCCTTTTCCAGATTTTAGGGGTTGGGGACCTGCAAAAACTTTCAAGAGCACTCCTAAAATTTTTGTTGCGCCTCCCTCCCCCGAGCCGAAATTCTGGATACGCCACTGGGTGTGAGGGACAGAGCTCGGCACGAGCTGGCACCAGGGAAATTTCAAAACGAAGTCCCGTTTGATATTGAAAATTTCGTACGAAGTCCCTTTTGACCTGTTTTGAAAACCCGTCATCATTTTTATATTATGTAAAAAATGTAGTAGTGTTTTCATGCATTTCTGACTTCATGAAAGAACTTTTTACAGCTTTCTGAGCTTTTTAAGTGGTCGAATCACATCTTGGGAAGCACAAAAAGCCGATTTTTTGACTGCGGAGCGGACCGAGTGGTTTTCAAATTGCTATAAAACGCTGAAAAGAGAACATTATGAAACTGTTTCTTCTCCGTATGTAATCTTTTACAGTTTAGATACATTTTATGTAAAAAAGTATGAAAACTTATGTGAGCAAAGTGTCGGTGCCAGCTCAGCTGGCACCCAGCTGGCACGGTGCCAGCTAATTCAGAAAAAAGTTCGGCACAGCTTTCATTCACATAAGTTTTCATAAATTTTTGGCCCATAGTTCCGCTCAGGGCTTTGGACCGTGCGAGCGCGCCGCAATAAGGCGCCGCCGTGCGAGCGCTCAGCATGCTGGACGCATCATCGTGCGAGCGCGCAGCAGGAAAGTTGTCGTACGAGCGCGCAGCAAAAGCTATTCCGCATAAACGCGTGCAGGGACGCCGTCGCCACGTAAAACTACGGTCCATTTACGAAAAAAAGGTACGGTAGAAAGGTAAGAAATTATTATTTTTGCTTGCTTTGGTATTTTTTAACTAACAATTAGGTCTTTTCTTTGTTCTTCGTTCAACAATAATGATTGTTTGTCCAGTATCTAAGTTATTGTGGCCTTTTCTATCCTTCAAAACGCCAATGTCACCTTGTTTTGATCATTTGCTAGTTTGAAGGCAATTTCCAGTTCTTTATGTAACGATTGTCTAGCTAGAATCGATATCCAGTCTGTGTTTGATTTTATCGTCTCTGTATAGTGAGCTGACCTAATGTCATTATAGGATCTTCGCACCTCGCCTTCGCACCTCAAATCTGATGTGCGAGAATCGCCTCACACTTCGTGCGAATGACCTCTCCGCCTACCCAGCGTCTCCAAGGAATAGAGTGGGCGTTACTGCTATCATATATAAGGTTCAGTCATGTTCTTTTCTTCAGTCAGTGTTTCTTCTTTCATTTGCTATTATTATGTCAGGAGTCAAGGTTTACCTTCATGTTTATATTGATTTTCCTGCCTATCCCAACCGCTCTTCCCTACTGATGAGCCTCGGGAGCGGTCTTTTCTTCCTTTATTGTCTGTCTAGGGGTAGAGGCGAAACAGATCCTCTCCGTTTTTCGTTGTATTTTTTATTAGGACAAAACGTTTATTCCAGGTAATCGAGAATGAACTCCCAACGTTCCAGACGAACCTACGACCGCATCGGAGCCAGAAATTATGGAAGTTAGTGCTTTTGTACATATTTCAATCAATTTCTTCGAAGGCTTTGAGCCCTGATTGTTTTGGAAAGCTTTGATTTCTCCACTTATGCCACGCTATAGTCTCATCATTTTAGTGATTCTTGAAGAAAGGATAAGAAGAATGAGAGACAATCAAGCATTCCTACGACAACTGCAGGAAGAAAGAGGGGACCAGCAACAAGTGGAGGAGATTGAAGAGGAAGGAGATAGTTAGTTTGATTTGAGATACGATTTTACTAATATGTGTATCCGGACATGAAATTAAGTGCCTTTTCATTATGTTAGATGTTACCAAACTCAGTAAAGGAGTTTTTTTTTTGCATCACTTTCAATTGTTCAAAGATGAATGAACTCAATAAAGATCTTGCATACCTTTTTCATGGTCAAAATCAATAAAGATTTTGTATCATTTTTCTGATCAAAAGATGTACAGCATTGATTCAAAGACATTAGTAACAAGATAAGGAGATGGAAGGAAAGGCCATTAGCTGGGGAAATGCTAGGTAGGAAAAGTATTGAGCCTCACTCCGGCACATAAATTTATGCTTTTTCACTAAGTCAATAGAAGAATTTTATCATCTAGCATTTTCATGCTATTAAAAGTTTCTCAGATCAAGATTCCTACTATGAAGGAGGTGATGAGCAACCCCTAGAACAACCGACTGATAATTTTTACGTATATAATCAATCTGAAGAGGTGGACGCTGATATGCGTACGTCATGATGCTAATCACTTGTAATATCTCAAGCATTTTTCTCTCTTCTAGCCTTAAGTGATCGTACCTTGTACTACTCCATGTACGTACAACACTTCGGTATTTCTTTGGTGCAAGTCAAACGAATGGAGGCTCTAATGGTTGTCATATACGGATCAGCACCTCCTATTACGGTGCGACTCAAAATTTGCAGAAAAGATTTACATAATCAAACCCCCCTACTTTAGTACGAACAAAATGTAGCGTCTTTTAATTCGGACGCTTTGACTGAGTACAATATCAAGCGCACCTACTACTGCAGTTCTTGTGAAGGACTGCTAAGCCAATGGAGGGATGTCTGTGACAACGAAGGCTGCGAACTACATAGGTTTGATAGAAGTTGCAGTGAAGCCATCAGTATGCTTACTTGTTCAGAGTGAGCATAAAGCGAGCTAAAGGAGTGCAAAGGATAGAAGTACATGTTCTTGACATCATTCCACAACTGAATGATATAATCTTGAAAGAGATCAAGAATATAATCGAATTTCATCGCTTTTTGCATGAGAACAGAGTAATTATAGTTTGATTCCTTTGCTGTAGACTTTATACGCAATGCTATTATGCAGGAAAGCCCTGCAAACGACCGCAGCGACATCCGATTTTTCCCAGATTTCTACAGAAGCATCGAAACTGCTGAAGAATTCAATAGAGGGCAACTGAAACTTTTATTATCACTTTCAGTAGATGGATGCGTGCCCAAGCGCATCACCAGGTATTTGATTCATAATGCACACGTCTTTTGAAACATATTTAACCATCAATTCCTGAAGAAGAGAAATGTGGCCGCTGTATCTACGCGTGGATAACCTACCCAAGAAAGAAGCGGACAAATACCTCAATTCGCTACTATCCGGGATCATCTACTCCTTGACAAAGCCAACAGCTAAGATGTTAGAAACACTTTTTTCGAGGTCAGATATGCTCTGTAGTTGCTGCCTACGAATTTTAAAGCTCTAATAGCATGATTTGAGACTAGAAGCGGAACTCAGTGCCCTACGAAGCGAACCGATAGAAATTGATGTAGACGGCTATGGTTGGACCATAGACGTCACTCTGAATAAGGGTGTTGCAGATCTGGCAGTACGTTTGAGACATTCTGAATTTATTTAACAACTTCATGAACCCCTTAAGGCTCAGCAGGGACTATTCGGCGTTCCACGATGGTCCTCTGAGCAAGGCTGCTCGAAATGTTATATAACTGGGCAGCGTATAGAAGGGCAGCGAGTGTGGATTTCAGGCGATAACGAAAACACTGATCTTAGACCACCCGAATCGTATGTCGTCGATGGACATAGAGGCGCAAACGGAATTCCAAGTCAGATGAAATTTTTCGCATATTTTACTTAAGATTTACGCGTGAAATCTAGAAGCAACACCATTGATGCGTATCATTGAGCCGTGCAGATTTCCCGGCGATGCTCTTCATGTTTGCTCCGAGGGCATAACAAAGAACAGGCTGCGAGGTTTCTAAACAAATGTTTGCACCCATATATCGAATAATGATATTTCAGATCTATTCAGTAGGCAAAGCAGATTTCGTGATTTGCTTGTGAACAGACAAGGTACTGAGAGTATTAAGAAGTGCTTGAAAGAGATGTCATGCTATACTTATGCGAGCAGTTTAATTCTGTCACTAGATGATTTGAGGACCTGCAAAGCCGCAGAATTAGATGAGGTCCATTCTATTTCTCCATATTTGTATTAGGTTCACACAACCACTATTTTAGATAGCATTCATTGCTTTTCCTCTCTCTTCTGCTGCTGGACTGATTCCCTCTCCATTAGCAGCAGTTTCTCTCTTAGGATACTGGCTATGCCTAAGAATCATTGCCGATTCGCGTAATTTGACCACCGTAAGCATAGAAAAAGCTCAGAAATTGGCTAGCTTGACACAGCAGATCTGGACATCGATGGCCCCGGAGATATTCACTATGAAATGTCACGTCAGTTTCTGCTCATCTATTCAATTTTTGTTCAATTTTACATAAAATTTTAGTGGTTTTTTGACCATGGGATGAAAGAAGAGATCACTTCCTATGGTTCAGCATATCAGTGGTCCTCTGCCCCCTTCGAAAGCCATCATCGTCGTTTGCAGATCAAAGTGGACCAATCTACCACTAATAGCTCAGCAACGATCATAGAGAAGTACTGCCTCAACTATCCACCTTCAAACATTGTAACACACCGTTTAGATACCTACTCTACAAGAAAATGAGAAATCTCTTCGAAAACAGGGCCGTGAATTATCCAGCAATGACTTCTTTGCGAAATAAAGTCGACAACAAACATAGAACACGGTATGATAGCAATGTTTCGGTTGATTCTCAACAAGTAGTACATTTGGTTTAAGCTTCCCCGTTGGTATATCATTGGATGATTCGATGTACATACCAAAAAACAGCCGGATAGAACCACATCAACTACAAGAAGTACATAGACAGCGAATATCCCAATCCGGCGAGGATGCATAGTTGGTTCTAACTTCTTGCAGAATGAGCTTCTCTGGTATCCTTCCTCCTATAGTTCTAGGTTGGTGATAAATGGAAAGGTTTACTCCTCTCGCACCTACTGGAAGCGCCCATCCCACAGTAGACAGGATATGGTATATCTCAAAGGAAGAGATGGAACAGAAGAGATAGATTGTTTTGGATCCATAATTCTATTCCTGTATGACCGTAGAAGACATTCCATTAGAGTACTTGTTGATGAGTACCAGTATCACAATCCTTTCGAACACTTGGGGAACATACTTCATCACACCGCACACCCACTTCGAAGGCTTGGTATACAGTTGATGTCTTTGATTGAAGAATGTAATAGTCACTTTCAAGAGCTAAGTAGTAAAACCGTAAGAAATAGAGCCACTTCATGTATAAAAGGTGCATGTTCTTTTCTTCAATTTGAATCACATTGCTATGCATCCAGATTATAAAGACTTCTACATTCCTTCTACATTCTTATCTCCTCGTTCCACGATTCGCCTACCTTTTTCCTATATCTCGTTCATGCATATCTAACTTGTATTTCGTCTGTGCATCTCTATATCTATCTATATATCTATTACTAACTTACTTTGCATTTCAGTTTACAATGAGAACAAATCAACATACCCCTACAAGAGGACGTGCGCCAGCTAGAGCTCGCCTAACTTATGCACCACCACGTGCTCAATTAGTTATAGCTTCTCCGCAAACGTGAGTAGAGAATTCATGATCACATAGCAATGTATAAGTGTCTTTTCAGAACAACACCGGCAAGTCAAGCAAGTCAAGACGTCTTTCATGATGAAAATGTGCCAATAGCAGTTGAACAGGTGGCTAGACCAGGTAAGCACCAGGTGACAAGCTTCGATCAACATATATTCGAAGTACTATTTAGGAAACGTGAACAACAGGCCAGAGTTCAACTTTGAAGAAGCGCCACGTGAGACGAGAAGGGAACCAGCATCGTTGTATGAGTGCGTCTCGAATGGGACCCTCGACATGAACAAGGCAGCCCGGCTGATACTGAAGCAGAAAAGAGACGGATCATTTAACCAATCCGTATATGATGTAAGTTCTGATAATTTGCCGGCTTCATTACAGCTAGAGATTTCAGGAATTCGTGCGTTCGGAGGTGGCCTCACGAGTACACTACTTCCGCAACAATGGAATATTGGACATCAGCGATACTGTCCTGGAAATGAGACTTACGGGCATTATGAACTACATGATGGTAAAGTCTTGGTGCTATTTTGAGTTAAATATGTAGCGCGTATGTCTTTACAGGCGGATATACAGTGTGCTAAATTTGATCGCTATACTCGCGCAGTTGAGTTATCAGAGAAAAAGGATACATCAGTAAGAGTCCCTGGAAGACCGGCGCTAATACTGAAGAACTGCACACGGGCATGGAAAATAGATGGACCGGCACCTTTTATCACGGTCAGTCATTGCACAACAAGAGCTTTAAATGACATAAATGCATATTATTTCCAGGCTGATTTGAAGCAAATGATAGTAAACTATCACCCCAAAGAAAAGGAGACTCCATTTCAGTTATTTGCTGGCTTGTTCCGCTACATCATAATGAGGGTGAGTTCTTTCAGGCAAGCTTTGCGCATTCTAAAGACATACAATTCCACTTACAGGCCACAAACCCTCCCCAAAAGATACAGGAATATTCACTACGTCTTAATGGGAGAAATGGGAGAGTGGACACTCTTTTGAATCTGCCGGAGAGTATTCAGAATCTCCTCTTAGGTAAGATAGTATGATATACACGAGATGCAAAACAATTCATACGTTGCAGACTTCGCTGAGGACTTGATAGGATATGGGCACAACGAACTCAGAGCACCGCAGGCAGATAAAACTTCCAGGTTTCTATAATAACTGTTTTATTATCGGCATTTCCACTGCTTACATACAATTTTTCAGTTTCTTCATAAAGCTAGGCAGTACGGACGAAGAAAGGGAACAGGAGTTTGATGTGCTTCAGCAAGAAAGGGTGTTGTTCAGAAAAGACAGTTTCAAAGGCCTACAGCTGGCACTGTAAGTTTAGCAGTATGTAATTGGTAATGTAATGTATGCGTACTTTTCAGAAGAGATGTCAGATCATACATTTACGACACGACGAAAGCGCAGTGGATTCCCGGAGACGTAAGCAGCATAAAAAATTCGAAAATGTAACGTGATCAACATGAATGAATTCAGAGGAAAGCCAAACGAACGAGGCTAGAGGTTCCCGAACTGGAAAACGCTGAACCAACACAAGAGTAACTCAACTGTATATATTTATTGCTAAGATTGTATAGATATTATGTAAGAACTAAGTCAATCATATTTACAAAATCTCAATTTTGAAAGATCTATCATTATTCTAGTCTATATTGGAACCAAGTTATATCCTAAGTCATTACTTATGTCACTACGGGTGTTTAGTGCTTTATTTGATACATAATTGTACATAGTAACTGTGAATGTGAATGTAAAAAATCGTGAAATTATCTTTATGACTGTTGTACTAGAACCAAAGAAGTTATCTGTGAATGTATAAAACTATTTCCACTGTTGTCTCATCGATACCGATAGTATCAATCAACACAAAACAAAAAAATCGGAGCAAAACAACTCAAAAAATGAGAATTTACCATTTTCTCAAAAGTTACCTAGTGGACAACAATCGCAAAATTGCGCAAGATCAAGGTCTCACTCGAAAAGAGCGAAGAAAATGGCCCAGAATAAGATTTTCTGATTTTAAAGGACCGTGCCAGCGGGCACCGACATGCGTCCGAGCGCGAAACCACTACCGAGCTAGCGGACAGCAAACATGCAGCGAGCGCGCCGCCATACAGCAGCAGGCGCGCAGTAACCCGCCGTGCGAGCGCACCCCACACACCGTGCGAGCGCACCCCATTGCCGCACCCATTGCCGTGCTGCGCGAAAATCCGGTGCGCGCTCGACTGACCTTTGCGGCGCGCTCGCACGGTCCGAAGCTCTGAGCGGTCCACCAACGCGCATGCACACACCAAATTTGGTGTCATGCTATTGAGTTTTGGCTGAAAACAACGCCTTTGTTTGTTGATGGACAGCTTGCCAATGGCATGCCGGTGGCATGCCGGCGGCATTTTTGCCTCAGTTCTCCGCCTCGGCCCCTGTAGAAACGATATCCCCTTTGCTTTCCGCCCTAAAAACGATATCCAGCTTGACCCGGTGCCAGCTGTGCTGAGCCCTGGTGAGGGATATCGCAAGCTCGACCGAGCGCGTGTAGGAATTTTGCGCGCACGGCTTTGGGTGCAATTTTCTAGGCAGAGTTTGCATGCTTTGCGCTTGGACCTGTTCCGTTCTATGTTTGGGGTGTAAACAACATTCCATATGAAAGTTTCAAGATGTTTGATTTTGCCGACACTACCTTTAACGCATAGCAGAGTCCGCACGCGTCATGCCGCTGTGCCTAATTGCCGCATGGGCGACGTCGCACCGATGCTGATTGATACAGCCTATATGCTAATGAGGTATATGATGCGTCAACTAAAGCAGTCTCACTTGTCTCATTTGTTTTTTTTCTTCCCAAGAAGTATGTGTTTTATAACAAGGAATGTTTTGACCCTGCTCCGCGAATACGGAGTCTGAGAGCGGAAGTTTCTGCCATAGGATGAAACTCTATAACTCAATAGGGAATCAATTTTTTTCTCAAATACACGAGCATTGAAACTACCACATGCATGTAGAATTAGAAAGTGTAAGATGACTGGCTGATCTGCATCATATCAAAGTGAAACACAGCTTGTACATCATGGTCGAGATAAATAATGATTTGTATTTGCAGGGAGCAATTGGTCGGAATATTTAGCCATAGTTTTTGAAAATAAGATTCAAAAGTGATCAGCGTCGTGACTGAGTATTTATTTGTTATGTTTCATTGATTTTGAGCTGATTGGGATGCTCTATTGAAGAAATACTGTGATTAAATTTGGGCTATGAAAGTTTTTAGAAAAGAAGCACTCTAATTGAAAGGGGTTGCCTTGTAATGCATATTTCATGAAGTAGAAAATTTTGACATCAATCGCGAAGCTTACTTGGGTAATAATATGCCAGATCACATTAAATCTCGAAAAAAGTAGTTTTTTCTCCTGACTACCAACTTGTGGGAATTCGGAGTGCCCAAAAAATGCAAAAATTCTTTTGTCCATGAAACATGCAGTCATCTGAATATATTATGCACGGGAATATGTGATAAGCAGCCATTATTGAACTAATGAACGTAATAAATGTAAAAGATGATTACTCACTTTGTTGAATCTGCAATTTCCCAAACAGTTGTCACAGGTAGCGCATGCAATCATAACAAAGAGGAACCCTGTTGAAGTTGGAACGAGGTGAAGTCAGTGTTTGCCAAGTAGATGCGCGGCTATGACTGATATTTTCGTTTCACAGCGCTTTTTCTTTCGAGTGCATTTATTTTTGATACCGGAGAGTGAAACTTCTCGCATTGTCTCCGCACTTTTACAACAAGTAGGGCCAAACTGCTTCTTCCATCCTCTTACATACGCTTCCAACTTCGTGCATTTTTGATAGTATTTGTTTTACTTATGCGTTTAGTAACGCGCCAGACAAAATTGTTCAGCCCAAACAAAAGCGTCATTACCTGAAACGATAAAATATTGAAATCGATATACATATAAAGGCAATATCTGGCAGATTTTGATTCTATTTTTTGCGTTATCCGAGCCTTACCATCCCGTGCCCGAATACGGGCTTCCGAGCACGTGAAAGGGCCAAATTCGGAGCCTTTTTAGATTTTCCAAGAAAGCTCGGACGACAGTTTAGCTTTGTAGTGCAAAGGTCTCGTTACGAAAACCTTGGCGCTGCTAAGGCTGCGTTCATACTGATCCCGAAGTTTGGGAACAGTCCCAGCACAGGCTCAAAGTGAGCTTCGTGCTGGGACTGTTCCCGGATTACGAAATCAGTATAAACGCAGCCTAACTTATGCGCTGAATGGCAGGAAGGGATTGCACTGGTTGTAGTGTGGGTGCGCAGACTGAGTCACTGAAGTTGTACATCGCGCCAAACTAAGGCTCGCGTGCCGATTCAGAAGGTGTTTTCTCTGCGGGTACCGGACAGAATCTGATGCGAACTGGCCAGGTCCAACCGCTAAGTCTACTGTCTAACTGTGCTCATTTTTCCGACAATTCAAATCTGCCGAGACCTGCCTATAAATCTCATCGCAAATTAAAAAACTCATAACATTACCCGTTTTCAACTAAATTGTTCTCTCATCATGTTTTAGAAGAAGTTTTTGCGTTTATAGCATTGCTTAGAGCAGAAAATTATTGTTTTAATGGCGGCCATCACTAAAAAATGACTGGGAATGTGACCAAAATAGCTGGTAATCAAGCAAGTTTGATAAACTAGAAGCCACATTTCTTTGTGTCGTTTTATGATATAATTAGCTAAAATAGAGTTGTGGTAATCAGATGCCTTGAGGCAAGATCATAATTTTCTTGATTTCTTACTCGACTTTTCGATATCTTTTCCAATTGAACTCTTCAGAACATGCACTATACACGAACAATCAAAATGTATAAATCGGGTTTTCTATATTCTTAATGTAAGACCCATGCATCAACTCAAAAGTTGTTTCAACTTGGTCCGGAAATATTCAGAAACAAATAATGCAACCAAGAAGGCTTGTGCGGATATTCATCTGTTTGAAAACATCTTCCTGGTAGAGAAAAAGCAAGTTAATCCAGTAGTAAACTATGTTCGAACAGGGAGTAGCAGTTCACGCACTTACCCAGGATGGTAGTAATGCCGTATATGAAACGGCAAGTCGCATTTGACTCAGTTTGAGGTTATGCCGTACTCTTTATCTTAGGTGCTCGCTACTTTATTCTCACAAATGTTCAAGGAAAAATATCGAACAAGTGAAACTACATTTTGGAGTCCTTTTCTAATGCGTAACTACACTCAATCACTTTTGCTTGTCATTCACCGTAGCATTTGAAGAAATGGATTGCTGTTGCTCGTTTTATTAAGATTGTGACTTTTCTTTATGTTATGACTTCGAGTAACGTTGTGTGAAAATGAAATGTAAACTGAAGAGCGTTTTCGGACTATCTGCTTTCAGATTGACTTGGTGTGATTCAGCTTTTGAGTCCTTGCTAACTTTCATTGGAAGTCGAAAGCTGGATTATTCAAAATTAACATAATTCAGTGCATCTGTACCATGCAAAGGATATTCGAATGACCGTAACCCCTAGCGATTACTCCCAACTAGCTCTGCAATAAAGGGTCCTCACAGATTATCGAAAATTGCACCATCAGCACATGGCACTGAGTTTGAAAAACCACTCGTTCCCGTTGTTTGGCCGTTTCCTTAGTACGACGTTAGCATAAAGGGCAATTACAGACAATTTTATTTTCACTTCTACAAAATTTCGCAAAAAATCATGCCAGCAAGCCTATGGCTGCAATCAACTGCTATTCCAATCTCCACCTACAAATGCATTGCGTTGAAGTTCGTGGAACGAATTTTTTCCTGCATACGGTTCCGCCCTTGAGCTGCCAAGCCCCCACCGCACCTGCGATCATATGTTTTAATTCTAAATGTGGGCGCAGTAATGTCCTTCTTTTCACTTTTAACTACCAAAAAATCCGACAGTTTAAGTTCTAAAGATACAGAACTTTCAGATTGTGCAGTCAGCATGTTGAGACGTTTGGGTGAGTTTGAAGTAATTTAACCTTTCTATCTCTTATTCGACAAGTCCAAGAGTAGGTAAAATTATGAGGGAGGAGTGCTCTAATCGCTTTCTCACTCCATTTTTCGTTGTTGAGCAATTTCGAGAAACGCTGGAGTTGTACAAGACAAAAACCATGGCTTCAAAACTATGGTAATTTTTAGGCAATTCATAAAAAATATTAGTTTGCTGACAGTAACGCTGAAAAAACGTAAAGCTCAACGGCATTTAGAATACTTGTCTATCAGTACTATCCGATTTGCGGAAAGATGAGCGGAGAATGATTGGTGAAACTTTACCACTATGACAAATCAAATTTTTGATTTGTGTTCTGTATTAAATCATCACATTCTTCTTCCACAAACGCGAGCATCATTTATTCGTCTATTCGACTTTTGGCTCGAAATTTTTGGCAAACATTGAGTCATACGTTTCTCAGGGATTGCTACTTCAATCACTGCAGTTTATTCGCTACTATTTGTAGTACACACGGGGAAGAATGAATGTTGCCCATGGGATTTGCATCTGAATGTAAGCCACAAAATGAATTAAAAGCTATACACCATCAAATCTTTCTCGCTGTCATTGAGACTACCTTCCGCAAGGAGTAGAAAGTTTTTTCTAGCAAAATCGTTTCTGTTTCATAATCCTTGTTTTTTCGATCTGGCGTTTCATGCTAAACATTTAGACGAATCATTACTTTTC